TAACATTCTCAATCATTTTTGTTGTATCTTTTTACTACATACGTTAATCTTGGATAAATTAACGTTGGTTAGTTGGTTTTTCAGTAAGGTATCTTAAAACCAGCTTAAGATACAATTTGTAGGGTATCTGTTTACCGATCCCCCAAAATTACCCTAGTTTGTTGCTCTTTTTGCCCACACCCGTTTATCGCTGTTTTGCCTTTGCGCTTTTCATTCATAAACAAAAAACTCTGGCGGCATTTTTGTTGCTCTTCTCTTCTCTCTCTCACTGTGTGTCTGCTTCTTCTTCTGCTTCACCTGTTGCGCGGCTCAGCAACTAGCAACATGTTGATGTTGCGACTGCATTTAAAATGTTGCAACCAATGTTGCGGAAGCATTTAATAAAAATGACACTTAAATCGGGAAATCGTGTCTAATTATCGTGAGCTTTTCGTCAATCTTCTATTACGTCCTAAGCGGATTTCGATGGGAGCCTCAAGGTCGTCGGTTTGGGATATCTTCCGCCCGACAATAAACCCGGTTTGCGTTTTGGGCAAACACACACTCGAAGATCCATTAACGATGCGCCGCTAACAAGCGCCAGTTCTTGGTCCAAAGTACAGGAAAAAAGCGATGCAGCTCCCCAGCCACTTCCTCTATTTACCAGGTAAATAGCGCCAGGCTAAGCGAATGCATGGGGTCAACACATATTTTAGTACAAAATTAACATACAAAGTTTATTCCGCATTAAAGGTAACATTATAGGTGTATAGTCTCTAGCTGAGTTAAGATCGCTAATTGGTGGTTGGTTGGGTGGTTTAATGGCTTGAATGCCCTTAAGCGTACTTGGCCACCAGACCGGCCACGAAGGTGACGTACTCCTGCTGGGCGGCCTCGCTGCTCTTGCCCTTCTGCTTGTTCCAGGCCTCCCACTTGGCCTTGCCCTTCAGGTCCAGGAGTCCAGGCTTGGCGGTATCGTTGTCGCCCACGCTGGCCTGCTTGAACAGGGCGTACAGCTCCAGGAACTCCTCGTCACTGGGACGCTTGGTCAGGGTCTTCACCTTCTCGGCGGCGGCGTTGAATTGCTGGGTGAAAGAAGGGGACATGTTACTTAACAACCAAAAAGGGAGGGTTTTTAAATAGGGTCCGTAAAAAAAACCGTGCTGTTAATTTTTTATAGAAATATTTTCGTAAATCTGTATATGTTTACTTTATGTTACGTCATTTTTGCTTTATATAAAACGAAACGATTTGTTTAAGTACCCCTACAAACTTTAAATATACTTAGCTCATAGTAAAGAGTTTTGGAATATAATAATCAAAATCTTTACTTGATTGCAGTTTTTACCAGAATGTATATATATTAAAAAATATTGCTATTGTTAAAATCAGTTTTGTTAGGTAAAAGGTAATTTTAATGCCTGTAATTTTAACCAGTTTTATAGTGGAAAGAGTCAATAAGAAAAAGAAAGAAATAAGAAATTCCCTAAGCAAAATCAGTTTATATTTCTATAGTTGTTCTATGTATTACAGCTTTTTAAGCATTAACTATAATTAAATGCTTTTCATTTAAAATATATTTTTTCTGAGTGTGGGGCAATCGAACAGGTGATTAGCAGCCGGCTTATCGCTCAGTGCCGCCCTAAATTTAGTACACTGCTGCGATCAGTGCACAATCTTTCGGTGGAAGTACTTACCTCGGAGAGGGACATTCTGGGTTAGATTTTATCTGCAAGAAGTGGAATTGTAAAAAAAGTTAAATTAGTCTTCTTTATAAAGTGCTTGGTTTTATGTCATAATAACTAAAACCAGTTCCGAATGAGGAGGCTGGCGTGTGCCAAACAGAGCCAGGTGGAACATAACTGAACTTTGGCCCCCCATCTGGTGATCTCAAAAGAACTAATGGGTGTTTTGCTAATGGGTGTTTGTTGGGCCACACGCATGTCCGACTTTCACCCAGCAGAAATACATAATTTGGATAGAATTTGGAAATTATGCTGCGGAAGCAGAAGACGCAAATATTTGTCTCTGGGTCGAGATTTTTGAAAGGGAGCGGACAAACCGTTAACGGCCGCTTTTTGGCCGGCCAATTTTGACCAATATGGATTCGGGCGTGGGCTTGGTACGTGTCGAGCACTGAGCAAAATACTTGCCAAATATGGTTACAAAAGCTTGCAATCTAGAATTGTATTTGCCATTTGTAAACTTTTATTTAATTTATTAGCTTATAAAATAGCAAGCGACAAACATCAAAAGGTCAAAGTGACTCAAAACAAACCAAGCTCTGTATAGTATATTCCAGAATATTCGCTTTAGAATGATTGTCACAAGGAACACTTGTTTTGCTCAGTGCCTTATTGGTTTGTGAATTTCCCTAGGTGCAGGTACCCAAAATTCACACACCTTACACTATCTAATTTTGAACTTTTCGTGTCACAACTACAATTAGTTGCCACTGATAGGTGGTGAGGGCTTTTGGGACAATTGAATGCAGACCGCGGGCAACTTAAATTGGGCACTTACTTTTGTGTTGGCTGTCGCAGAACTAAACACTGTCTGAATTCCAATCTGGCGGTGACTTTCAATTTAAGTCTTTCCATGACGCGCGATCGCCCTCAACGAGAAAGCTCTCCACTGGCGAGAATTATGGAGAGAGTGTGGCGAAGCTCCGGCGAAATTCTCGGTGGATCTCGGGGAGCTTTCGTTCGAGTGGGTTAGGCAATCGCGGTGGTGATAATGCAGACCGCACTGATAGCAGTACCGATTCCCTGATAGGCAACCAAACCAAATCGAAGCGAAGCCACGTAATCGTGTTCGGATCGAAGTTCGAGCGGACACCTCCTATCGCAAAAACTTGGGAGATATTAGGATCAGGAGTGGTGGAGGGAAATGGGCCTTATTGCACGAAAAGCTCCAATAAAATCCCGCTAAGCCGGACAAACACTTGATTATTGCTGTTATCTCGGATAATCTTTATTGTTCAACATGGTGATGGCAGGTGAAATGGGGTGCCCGGAAACGGGAACCAGTTTAGGCGTAAATGGGGGCGTACTTCTCGTACACCTTCACGTAGGCCTCCTTGGCGGCCTCCTTGGACAGACCCTTGTTGGAGCTCCAGGCCTCGTACTTGGCCTTCTCCTTCAGACTCAGAACGCCGGGCTTCTCGATGTTCACATCGCCAACGGTGGCCTGCTTGAAGAGGCCGTAGAACTCCAGGAACTCGGCATCGGTGGGCTTCTTGGTGAACTTCTTGGCGAGTTCAGAGGCTTCTTCGAACTGTTTGGCAATGGGAAATTTAAGATAATTAAATTACTCTCCAAAATCATTACTTTAAGACTGATGTGACACTTTAAAATCTTTTTATTCCAACTCAAAAATTGAGTTTGACAGTCTTTCAGCAATTTAACACTATATCCAAAGTGCAGAATACTTACGGAGACCATGTTGTCAAAATTGGATTCTTGTTGGTAATGCTGATGTAGGAAACAAAATAGTACAGAATTAAATGTAGTTTAACTACAAGGATTCTTTGCTAATGTGTGCTTACCACTGAAAAAGGCAAAGACGATTGAATACTTCTAGGCCTTTTAGGCGCGCTTATATAGCTTTGAAACTCTTTCATATTTCTGCTGGTTTATTGGTCCAAGTAAAATATTCCCATTTTGCTGATAATCAGCAGATATCGATATCTTTATTTCGCCAATTTCGTTGCCGAACTACAAGCGTGCGACATTGTCAAAGGTAGCGATATTGAAGATAGCCCCCGGATACACTTATCGTTTATTGCACCAAAGAAACATGTTTTAGAATCCAAGGGCACAGTTGGATTCACCTGCGAATTCGACTTTGGGCTGGAAAACTTTTATGGTTACCCATAAATAATGACGAATTTCTCGGCTCCCGTTATAAACGACATATTAATCTAATATATTATTACGTGGCATAAATCTATTAGTGTACGTATATACGTGGCTTCTTTGTCAGCATCAGCTGATTACAAACATATACTGCAAATATATGTAAGCTTACTAAATAACAACATACATTTTGGCTATTAAATAATTAATTTGACCACGTATTTTCGGAAATCTTATGCAGTATTGCTACAAAGTAAGTTAAGTTTACTGAGCGCTACAAATACGCACGTTACTTAATAACAGTTATAAGCGTGTCTCCTAAAAGATTGCTTTAATTTTGTTAAAGTTTTGTAAAATATTTTTGTAGAAAGCGTGTAAATAATTCTTAATTTTTTCCAAAGCAAAATATTGCTTTAAAAAAACATTGTTTGTTTAATTAAAAAAAAATATGTTTAAATGCCAAAATATAAAAAAATATACTTTTTTACATGTATTTAATTTGGTTTTTGGTAATTTGGTTTTCACTTGACCGGAATTATTAACTTTACCTACATCTTGATAATATTTATTCAATTCGTTGAATCATAGTAGAACAAAGTCTTCTTTATGATTAACTTAAAAAAAAAAATAGTGAGACATTTCGAAGAACAGCAATAAAAAAATTTAATTTATAGATTTTTAGTTCTAGTGATTTTTTGATTTAGACGTTTAAGTCTTTGGTAAATTTGAGACACACGAAATGGATGCATAGCCTTCTTATGATAACCAGATCGTTGGAGAAGTCGACAAAAATAGATTTTCCGACCGTCCTTAGAAATTTAATAAGCAGAAAGGAAATAAGTTAAGAGTTGATCGAGCTGCTCCGTTAACTTCACACAGAGCAATAAAATAATAAGATCAGGTAATAATTGTGTTATATAAAAAAGTTTGTCATTAGAAAGAAATCTAACAAAAATTAATTACTCTTTTTTTTATTAACAATCGCATGTTTGCCAAACCACTTCGATTAAAGATATATATTTTCTTTAATTATACTTCTAAATTGCAGAACATATCAGGGCTAATAGCTCCCAATCAGATTAAGATAGGTGGGGAGTGGGTCGCATGATCGCATTCGGCAACTTGAGTGGAAAGTTCGGCACTGATAGAGGCTTTGTTTATGTTAAATGCATAGGTGTTTGGTTTATTATAAATTTACAATAAATACACAGAGTTACAACAACTAACCACATGCATCGCTAGAAGGGTCACAGGAAGGGGTCTAAGTCTAGGGGTTCTCAGATGGAGATGAAAGTGCACCGCTTATTCGTACTGGGGAGCGTACTTCTTGTAGACCTCGATGTAGTAGGCCTTGGCATCGTCGGCGGTCAGACCGGCCTTGCTCTTCCAGGCATTGTAGCGGGCCTTCTTCTCCTCGTCCTCCGGCTCATCGATGTTGCAGTCGCCGACGGTGGCCTGCTTGTAGTAGCCGTAGAACTCGAGGAACTCCTCCTTGGTGGGCAGGTTCTTGAAGCTCTTGGCCTTCTCGACGATCTCCTCAAACTTAAGGTTTGCAAAAGGGAAATTGTTAGACAATTGAAAGGCTTTAGCAGTAGCTTAAAACTTACGGTGGGCATGTTGGCAGCTAGTCGGTTTCGGTAAACAAAAACAATCTGTGCGGACTTGGTCGTGAACACCATTTATATATTGGCAAACATGGCTCACACCTTTCGCTAATCTTATCTGGCCCCCACTGCAATTGTAGTTGCCACTTGGCCTAATCGTAAAAGTATATATTCCGGGTAATCATGAAAAGTGAGAGTTCCTCTTAGGGGCACTGAAATATATAATTAGTCAGACGGCAGTTTATCAGCCCACTTGCACTTGCCAAAAATTGAATCGGCCATATACTATGCACAAACACTATGTGCCCACTATCTGATTGATTGATTAGGTCGAGCCCCGAAGCGAATGATATACTAAAATCTGGATAGCCAACAGCCCAAAATAACTTAATTAAAGGCTAGCCAACAGTCATCGACACTGCTTTTACACCTAATTCACGTGAGTCAGTTCCTATCACATGTGTTATCATGGTGAAGTCGCACGATCTCTGTGGTACTAAGAATAGTGCCCAGCAGATAGTAGTATCTACCTTTAAAGTGCCATGGAAAATATTAATTAAATTCGGTTTCAGGTTCAGGTCCCCAAATGTAGATATAAAATTGGGCAATGCACCTGCCCGTATTCAAATTAATTAAAATTTCTTAATATCAACTAAATGGGGGTCTATAAAAGCCAGTTGTTGACGGGGAGTGACTTCACTAAGCATCAATCGTAAATCCAGCAAGATGGTCAGTTTTGAGGAAGCCGCCGAACTCGCCAAGAAGTTCTCCAAGAAGCCCACCGACTCGGAGTTCCTGGAGTTTTATGGCCTGTTCAAGCAGTCCACCGTTGGCGACGTGAACATCGACAAGCCCGGCATTCTGGATCTCAAGAAGAAGGCCATGTACGAGGCCTGGAGCGCCCACAAGGGTCTGTCGAAGGAGGCGGCCAAGGAGGCCTACATCAAGGTGTACGAGAAGTACGCCCCCAAATACGCCTAAGGTTCCAACCTACGGACTACTCTCCATCTGCCAAATAAACTCGAAATCTTATCATGACAATCATATATCGTTTTGCATAGTATATATACCTAAAAGGCTGCCTCGGATTGGGGCATTGCAACGGCGGCAGCAATGAGTGGCTTGGCCTGGCCAGACTTCATCAGCATCACGCGAATCTGCGAGTTGTCCGGGCTGAGGCTGGGCGGTGGCAGTTTGTCCATGGCATCCAGCACGGCCACCACCTCGAAGTCCACTCGCAGCGGAACTCCTGGCAAAACACTGGGCAAGCGGGCCATCGACTGCAGAATCGTGTAGTGTCGTCGGTCCGCGTGCAGCAGAACCACCAGATTCGAGGCCATCTTGAAGGTGGACAGGTTCTGGACGGTGAGGTAGAGGCGGAATGCGGGTCCACTGCCGCACACCTCGGCGGATAGTTTCACGGGGGCGTGGGTCAGGTCCCCGGATATCGTCGTCTCCGAGGAGTTGATGGCGTCGATGGTCGCACGGGCTGCCGAGTGGCGAAGTCGCCAGAGCTCCACCTGAAAGCTGCCATAGGTTGCTGAAAGTGAGAATAAAATTGGGCAATTATATAAAACACCGCCAAACTGATAGAAAATGCTTTAGTTAAAATAATTAAATTGCTATTGAATTCAAAATTGTACATTTAAATTAAATATAAAATCATTATATTAAATACAATGCACTTAATAAGATTTAATATTAAAATATGTAAGCTAATGTGCATAATATAAGATTTAAAATGGGATCTATTTGATTTAAATGCATTATAGTTAAGTTTGATATGGATTCAATTAAAATAAAATTGTCGTATGTCAAAATTAGTACGTTTTTTGGCAGTTTAAAAATAAATGTATCCTTTTAGATAGATTACTAATGAGGCTTTCGATTTCGGTTTTTTTATAAGTCTAAATCAATTATTAATCAAAATTATTGGGTATTCCAACCGCTATCAATTTAACGTGTAATCTATAATCTTATGGAATAACACGCCACCTCAAATCAATCACAACATTAATGGTTTATATTTAAGTGGGATTTTTAGGAATTCCATTTCCGTTGAATGAGTAATCTATGAAAAAAACTGGACAAATATTAAAATTAATATTTGTGATCAAAATAAATTAAAATATTTAACAGCTACATATATAAATAAGCTACACTTACATTTGGCCTGTTGCTTCTCCCTTGCTGCTTGCTCCACAAAGATGGAGCTCTTCTTGGGTTTGTCCAAAATAGAGGCATCTACGATGGACTTCTGGTCGCTGACCGATCGCTTGTTCCCCAGCTCTCCGGGCTTGGGTTCAAATCGGGACACCCTTCTCAGGATCTTCACCACAATTCCGCCGGATTGGGTGACGAGTGTGAGAACGTGATCCTCCATGCCCATGCGACCGTACAGCATGGCATCCACTGTCTCGTCCAGGGTAAACTCATCGACCAGATACCGCTGCAAATAGAACTTGACCACGCCCCCCCTGAGGGCGATGGCCACCAGGGTGAGTCCCAAGTGGGTCATGGGCAGTGGCAGGAGGCAGACGGGCAGATCGGCCAGTTGCACCTGATACAGCAGCTTGCCCCGCTTCGAGTAGCACAGATAGCGATTGTCCATTGTGGAGGCGATGATGGTCTGATCGATGGGCAGGAGCAGCAGTCCCGTCAGTGGGGTGCCCAGCTTGAAAATCTCCTGTCCCTCGGATTGGGTCTTTCGCAGGAGGTACACACCGCCGTTCCTTGTAGCCACCACGATGCAGAAGTCCGTCTCATAGGTTCCCTGCACCGAGATCAGGCTCGGCACGGCGGTCTCATCCTCGCAGGTTCTGCCCTTGAATACCAGATTAAAGCCCTGCGGCTCCAGGATCAGGACATGGCCGCTGTCCGTGGCCAGTACCAAGTGGGAGGGCGGATTGGAGTCGCTGGAGATGCGCTTCAGGCAGCACATGGCCACTATACTGCCCACTCGACCCACCGGCGAGTCCTTGTGGGTGGTGATGAAGGCCTCCCGCTCCTCCTCGCCCATCTGCAGCAGGCGCTGCGACTTCCGCGACAGCTTGGAGTGGTCAATCTTCCGCAGCGAGTCCAGCAGGCCGGGATGGGTGTCCGTTTTCATTACCGGCAACTTGCGCCACACCTCCAGTTCGAGATCCTCTGATTCCTGGGCGGGAATTGTGTACTTGAAGTACGGCTTCAGGTGGCGGTAAAAGAGTACGGACTCGGCGATGGCCACGGCAATTACTGGAAATATGAGTTTACATAAAGTCAAACTACGTTTAATATGAATTAGGGTTTTCTTAGGGCGAAACTCATAAATGGAAGAACTATGCTGTGAGCCAATTTCACAATATATATAATAAATAATATAATGATTATATACTTCATTTAAATAAGCATTTTAATGGTATTAAATAGGCAGACAATTATTCCTTCTATATATTTCTATTGGTGAAAATGTGAAAAGTGAGCAACTCGTAAACAAAAAAAAAAACTGTGTACAATATTTAAAGCAAGAAAATATGAATCTATTTGCTTTGCAGGAAGGTGTGTCACGCTAAGTCCCCTGACAAAGCTTACCCGGCGTCTTGGGTTCCGACTCGTCGATGTAGAGGCTCTCGATGGCCGTGGGAATCCCCGGCAGCGGCTGCTCCTGCTTGAGCTTGAGTCCCCTGAACACTTTTAGGGTGGCACTGGGCTCCTCGGCGGCGTCGTCCAGGGAAATGTCCGCCGCCAGCAGCCGGACATATCCGTCGCACTGCACGTCGCTCAGGGCCATGCAGCTGGAGAGGGTGGTGAGCTGCGGCCGAGGACTCTCGTCCTCCGTGTCCACATGGAGCCAGTTGGGGGCTCCGGCCATGGCAGGATCTTGCGGAAAACTTGGCAGCGTAGTGTGAAAACGAACAGGTGATTCAGGACATTCCTTTGTTTTGGTTTTTTTTTTCCTTAGCAACCGGGATGACCGTTAATTCGTGGTATATTGATAGGCCTGCCTTTCACAAAGTAATTATAGGAAAATTATTATAATTGGAATACTGTACTTAAATATAATTTATAAAAGAATTTCTAATTTTCAAATTTAGTTTTAAGCAATCCGAAACAAAAATATTGAATTATTGTTCTTTTATCATTCTTGTTTTGTTTTATTAAATACAATCTCTTTTTTCTATTTTAATCATTAAAATCTTTATTGTAATATTAAGATTTTAGTATATTTCCGAAGCCGGATGGTTTATTTGCCTGTCCCGACCTGGTCACACGGAATAATAACATTGTAGATCGATGATTTTGGCGGAAAACATCAATGTCTCATCGATGTTTGAAACAAAATTTAATACGTCAATATCTGTTTGGAGATTTATAAATAAACTAACAATAACAATGGAAAGTCTTTGGTTAAATCACTGCCCGCAATTCTAAATGGGGCCAAAATTATGATTGATGCCTAATTCAAATAAAATACTTAATTGTGCAGTGATTTCTTATTGTAATCTCTATTTTATGGCTTTCTTTATATATAATTATGTCATTTTAAGAACTTAGAATTTAGATAAACATCGATGACCCCTGCCAAATATCGATAGTACCGATACTTTGAAAACATCAATTATATCGATGCCGTCATCGATGTTTATCCACCACTAGCGACGCTCGGCGTTGAATTTTTAATATTTACTAGTCTTAAGTGAATTATTTACCCTATTCTTTGCTCAAGTGATGACGGAGTTGAAGGACGAGATCCCGATTTTCCGCAAGGGCGAGATAGTCCTCTGCTACGAGCCGGATAAATCGAAGGCCCGAGTTCTATACACCAGCAAGGTAGCGCTATTGCACACACTCGCCAACGCACACACACACCCACACAGTCGCACGCCGAAACGTCAAACAAATGTCAAAATCGAAGTTTTCACGGCAAATTTTGCTTTAACCCGGGTTTCCCTGCAGGTTCTGAACGTCTTTGAGCGCCGCGACGAATATGGATTGAGGTATTACGACTACAAGATCCACTTCCAGGGCTGGCGGCCCTCGTACGACCGCTCGGTTCGCGCCACAGTGCTGCTGAAAGACACCGAGGAAAATCGCCAGTTGCAGCGCGAATTGGCTGAGGCAGCCCAGCTGCAA